GTGCGATACGAACGATGTCTCACATTTGGAGGCAAAGTCTTGAAACTCCATGATTTCCATCGGAATATTAGTTCTGTTTTGAGAGAAAGTCTGTATTCTTATAGCAAAATACTAGTTGTGATGAAAGTATACCTCATATTCTTATACAAACTCGTGTGTATTGGGAGTCCATTGATGTCCAAACCGACCGAATCGGTGTAATTCCAAACGCCGCCCACTTTTGTTGTCTTCTCGTAGACATCAAAAGTGAATAATGAGTGATATTGTGATAGATGTCGGGCCGCACACAGACCGCCCGCACCCGCGCCTATAACACACACTCGCATTGGTTTGTCTTTGTTTTCTGTCTTGTATTCAAAGCTATATATGAATGAAGACAAACATTTGAGTTAATTTTTGATTCATTAAATCAATTTTTTCATAAATGTAATTTTAAACTATCGATCAAATGGTGTCTTATGATCAAAACTGATTGATTGATAATTGGTTTCAATTGAAGGCCATTCTCTTATTTAGGTTTGAAAACATCTTTGCATACATTGAAACAAATTCATTGAAAAACTTGTTATGAAATTATTGTGTGTTTGGATTAATTGCAATAAATTATAAATACAGTGGAGATATGTTGAGTAGAAATAACCCCTTTTAACAAATTACCAGTCATTATGTAATTGCTTTCTATTGTTATTTTAAATTATATTTAAACTAAACAGTATTTCTAAACAGTTTTAGGTTTTAATACTATTTCCTTCTTTCATACGAAATAAAAATAACAAAACTTTGAACACAAATGGGTTTTACTCTCACTTACAGTTAACAGGAATTAACAAAATAATAAAAATTTGAACTCTTTTTACAATTAAATGATTATTTAAATTTTAAACAATATAATAGTTGTCATAAATGCATATCACAATTAGCACAATATTAATACAGTACAGTAGTCTTATCTCATTAGTCTCAACAGTTCATAACCTTTGACATACAGTATTTGAGTTTATTTTTGATTCACAAAGTTATTGAAAAAAATGTAATTTATTTATTTATTTTTGCACTCATAGCGAAACTAATGAGAGATTGAGAAAATGCCGAACAAAGATTTAAAATGTGGTCTTTATGTGGACCACTCCCGAGACTTGTCCTCTGCCATACAAAACGCCACAAACAGCGGGTATTTCGTTATAAATATAATTCAATTTAGAAATAAGTTTTGATAATATAATTGTGGTTGAATTCAGGTTCAACTTTGTGGCCACCAATTTAATCCATCCGCGATCTAATGAATTCACGCCACACAGCGATCTCCTCCTCTCGAGTGCTGGTAATGAACTAAACTTGTGTTTTACTATAATTTCATTGTAATTGTAATATAGATTGGAATAGTCTTGTGGTCGGAATGATCACTGATTGTGATCTCAAAGGCAAAGCATTGGAAAGTTCAGCCAAAATGGAGGCGGAGATCACATATGCGGTGCACTTGGGTTTACCGGCGCTTCTATTCCAGTGCCCGTCATCTGTCGAAGGGATCTCTCAGTTGTCGCGACTAATTAATTCAAAGATCACTTCTTTGGGAGGTTTTCAAAATTTGCCCCAATTTTGGATTCAAATCCCAATCCATTCTCCGGTCGAAAGCAGTGAAGTTTGGAGGAATGATAGCGACGACAACAACCACATGGAGGACACATGGTTTCGATGGCAACGAATTCGGAGTCATATGGCTGTCGACAGAAGAGTTGCGATCGCACTCGAACTCAACGGCGATTTACCCGACGAGACATCTCTTAGTCGTTGGGCCGGAGAGCCCGTCAAAGCTGTAGTCATCTCCACCTCTATATTCCAGACGAATCGCAAAGAATATCCGGTTTTAACGAAAACCCACCAAATATTTATCCGAAATT